GAATGGTGTCAAAAACACAACATATCAATTCCCCCAGACTTAGATCCTTGTTTGTCCTCAAACAATGTCAAGTTTCTAGATCAGTGGGAAAGGTTTGAAAGCGTGGGGACTCTCTCATTTCAGCAACCATACTCTAACCACAAATCTCTGAACCATACAAGCAGACATATTAGGACGATACACTCTTACCAGAACCCCCCACTGACTGCTGTTCAAATCGGCTCCATACTCTATATCTCCAACCTGCAAAAGTCATACTTTCCAGACAAAAACTCCTTATATTCATTTAAGATCAGTGTGAGCTTCTTGTCATAGGCATTATTCAGGAAAAACGGGCTAGGTATGAGACAGGCTTTTTCAGTGTTTAAAGTGGAGTTAACAAGTGTTTAGGGTTTACCATGTCTTTGTAGAGGATGCAGGATATTACACAAAATTGTCAGAGAGGACGGATCCATTGATCTCCACAACCCTCACTCGTTTTCTCTGCAGAGCACTCGCTCATTGCTCCCCTTTTCTTTGACAGGTTGCTCTCTTTCATTCAGATTACCTCTCTTACACATTGTTCAATTTCCACTTCAACTCTTCTTTTCTGATCGACCAGGGACACTGTTTTGGTTCTTCTCCTTCTCATCATCTTTCAGAACTCTTGCGACATAAATAATAATACACTGTTTTTTTTTTTTTTTTTTTTTTTTTTTTAATACTGAATAAAATGATGAGTTCAAATGATGATGATGACGAGAAGGAGGTCATTACATGTAGTGTGCCCCTGGTGGTTCTGACTTAGCACTTCTTCCACCATTTTGACTTTTCTGCTCGGATCACTCTACTGACTTGCTCACTTCTGGTCGGATCATGTACCACCTTGCTCTGAAGCGTAGTCTGTGAGCAAAACGAGTGAGAGCAGTGTTGATCCTTTCCTCTCCGACCCTTTTGCACATATCTGCACATATGAAACTTAAGAACATAATGCATGAGGGTGAAATAAAGGATTTAAGGTTCAAGGTGGATACTAGCTAAAGATGAGCTAGCCACTCAGGATCAACAAGATGGATAGAAAGGATTAAGATGTCCTGAGTGTAATCTCGTTTCCCTAGTCTAACGCCCATAACAAGAAGATTTAAGTCAATATTAGGTTCAAGTTAGGTGGAGTTTAAGTCTTTCCAGAATAACCTCTACAAGCAGAATTCTTCTGGAGAGCAAGGTGATGTAAAGTCAGGGAGTGTTCCAGGTCCAAGTGAACGTCTTTCATCACTGCTAAGGTCACTGAATAAGATACTTAAAGCACGAGGTGGTAAGATAGCATCATAAGATAAGGTCCTGATTCCCACATAAGTTTGACTGACTCGATCCTAGGACTAACTCAATTAATGAAAACAGAAACATGACTGACTCAAGAAACAAAAACAAGAGCAAATAGAGTTCAGAAACACACAAGTGCCTCCCCCAGACTTACTTCACACCGTCCCTGGTGTGAAAATAAACCTAGAGGCAGCAAACCAGACTTACCTGGCGCAGAGCAACCTGATGGAGCAGGATGCGGTTGCTCCGTGACCTTGCTCTGTTCGGAAAAACAGAGGCATCTTTTTTTTTTTTTTATCTGAAACTCAATAAAACAGAAGCAAAATAAAAACTAAAAAGAAGTTCTAAAATAATTTAAACTCACCAGTGGGTTGCCTCCCACCAAGCGCTTGGTTAAAGTCACTAGCTTGACTTTGGTGATGGGGATTAGTTTGCTGGAGCAGGAGGGCCTGTTCCAAAACAAGCTCCACAATCAGACAT